CCTGCCGCGCTCTCTCCGGCAGCTGTGTGCGGGGAGGGGATCCCGCAGAAAATCGGCTCTGGACAACTTCCGGACACGGAGGAGAGTTGCCAGCGAGAGGGACTGTTGGAACACTGTGTTTGAAGGGAGCGAGTCTGGCGATGAGCGCGCGGGGAGGGCAGTGCGTCATCAGTCATGGGACTCGCGCCGCAGCGGCATTCCAAGCCGGTCGCGTGACTCGGGAAGTCGCACGCGGCTTGAGGCGGTTCCGTCCGACTGACAGCTGGACCGCGGGAGATGGATCTCGCTGTAACCGCTCAAAGCGCTTGACTGTGAGCACTGGGGGTATGGGGACCCCCTCAGTCACGCGTGTAATGCGTGTACACTGTCGCGGTCGTGTACCGTATTGGTCTGTATACAGTCCTGCATCAGCGCGCCCACCGGAGCTGTGGGGACACTTGAAGAGTAGAGGGTGGGGTGGGGGTTCTCCACTCGTGAAAGTGACCTGACTTCATCCTGGGGGGGATGTGATAGGGCTGTAAGACTCAAGAGACGCCTTGAGGCGTTGTGTGTGTGTGTGTAGGGGAGGGGTTGATTATTTTAACTTGTGTGAAATCCAAGCTGCTTCTGTGTGTACAGAGTTATTGGCTCATAACTCAGTGTGTACATATGTCCTTAAGTTATTAATAAATATCTGAATCAAAACAACGCCTTCTTGTCCTGTCTTCACTGCGAGCAGAGCATGTGCCTGTGGTAAACATGTTGACACGTTCGAGATCAGGAAGTGGTTTGCTAAACTCCTGGACTGTGCTTTTACCCTGATCTCACTGGGCTTTACTGTACTGCACTGTGCTTTTACCCTGATCTCACCGGGCTTTACTGCACTGGACTGTGCGTTCGTGAAGCTGTGTCAGTGGGATGCTGTACCAGCTGTTCCTGTGTGGGTCAGTGTCCCAGGGGGCATGTAGTGTAAGTAAAAATAATGCAGAAGGAGACACCCTCTCAAGGGAAATGACTCGTCTCCACCCAGCAGCCTCCAGAGTTTGCTCTGGTCTCTTGTCACCTTGTGTGGAGTCTGGGGGAGCAGAGAACAGTCACTGTACCACATTGTAACTAAGTCATTGTGTATGAGTGTGTCTGTGGGAGTCACTGTGAACCGGTGTGTGCCACAGTGTAGCTGTGAGTCATTGTGTATGAGTGTGTGCCAGCACAAGTCACTGTGAAC